ACCATGGGCTACATAGACAGGGTTCCCAGATTCCGGAGGTGATTAGATCTAAACACCACTCAACGGAGAGATCACGGCAGGATTTGATCCCAAAGTAGCAACCCTGCTCAGGAAGAAAGCTTTTCCCACCCCTCCCCTGCCCAGGGGGAAAACGGGTGATCCGCTATGCCAGCCCTGCTTGCGTGCCTGCAGAGGCCCAGGGTGGGCACAAATGGCTTATTTTTTTGGTTTTTTGACACAGAATCCCCTTTGAGAAATTGTGGTCAGCCCCTCTCCAGGCCACTGCAGCAGATTCACCCTGGAGAGCAACTTGCAGAAGCTCTGCCTCCACCTCCCGGAAGGTTGGGTGCGAATGGGAGAACCTGAGACAAAGGCAGGAGACCGGAGCAGAGCCCTACTGCCAGAGGGCCCCCTCCCTCAGGCACAGCCTCAGCCCCATCACAGCACCTTGTATTGGGTGCCAGGCTCCCACCTGCAGGAATCAGCCCCAAGTCCTGGAGGGCATTCTGGGCTCAAAAGGAGCTTAAAACTTTAATAAAACACGGGGCTACCCTTTCCTGCCATGTGCAACTTTTTATTCAATGATCTTTTTTTTTATGTCTGAAAAAGTACAGCTGACCCTTGAACAATGCATGAGGGGCCACCAACTGCCCACACATGGGAAATCCAAGTGTAACTCCAGATTCCTTCGCATACCTGGATTCCCAACTGCCAGCTGACCCTTGAGCAGCGCAGGTTCAAACAGAGGGTCCTGCGCAGTTCAAGCCCGCGCTGTTCTAGGGTCACCTATATACTGAAATCAATCCAAGACAAAAGTGACCTGGGTTCTCACCTTCTGAACGGGGCAATGTGTTTTTAAATTTACCCGTGCCAACTAGTCCTTGTTCCTGGGCATGCTTTGTATTCTGCAAATTTGAGGGAATATAGACTTTCTACAGTTTCAATAATTTTAACGACAGAAACAGAGCCTCTTTAAAATGGAGCTGGAGCTGCCATCCCAGAGGAATTGCGATGGTCGCTTCAGGCCTCCAATCTTTGGAACTTAAAAACCACAAAATAACCTTTGGACTGGGCCTAGGGCGGCACTGTGAACTGTCCCTGTCCCCTTCTCATAAACACCCCCTGCTTTTGTGTCCTAATCAGAACACTATCTGGGCTTCTGCCTGAATTAATAATTCTTGAATAGCTATTCTTATTGATCTCGAATAAAGGCTTGTTGCCCCTCACTTTGAAAGGCCTTTTCATTTTTAAGTTAGCTGTAAGTAGATAAGTAATGGCTATTTTCCTAAACTGCTGCAATCTTTTCTTCCATCCAGGTAACCAGAGCCACAGGCACCTGCTGGCACGTTACAACGGGAAGACCTGCAGAAAGGGTCAGGCCTTTGTTTGTTTGTTTGTTTTTAACCCTCACTGGAGGATATTTTTTCCATTGCTTTTCAGAGAGAATGGGGGGGGGCAGTATTTTGATGGCTTTAGCCAGCTTCCTCTCCTGCAAAGCCCTGCCACTCGGCCATCACAGGGGAGCTCTGCGCTGGGCTCTGCCCCTGGCTGGCCCACTGCGTGCTCGGTCTCCTGTCCTCATGGAGGCGTCGCCTGTATCGACACCCCTTTCTTTAGATAGAGCTTTCAGGTCAGGAGCATTTGTAATTCTAATGTCCAAAATTTTCGTTTTCCATCCTTACGAGTATCTCTTTTTATATATACACATTTACCAGTTATAAATGTTTTCAAATAGAAAAAACTTGAAGACATGGAGAAGTATAAAGAAAAAGAAGTGCTCCGTTGTACAAAGGTAGCTACTGAGAGCCCTGGCCAGGTGGCTCAGTTGATTGGAGTGTTGTTTTCTCTCACGCCCATGTCTCTCTCCCTCCCCCTCCCTTCCTCGCTCTCTAAAATGAAGGAAAATATACCCTCCAGTGAGGGTTAAAAAACAAAAGGTGAGCCCTGGCCAGTTTGGCTCATTGGTTAGAGCATTGGCCCGAGGACTGAAGGGTCCCGAGTTCGATTTCTGTCAAGGGCATGGACCTCCATTGCAGGCTCGACCCCCGGCTCGGTTGGGGCGTGTGTGGGAGGCAACCAGTCGGTGCGTTTCTCTCCCATCGACGCTTCCCTCCCACACGGGATCTGCTAGCCTTCTCTTTGGACTTCTCGAAATCACTTTTCTCAAGGCTGGTGCAAAGCTACCCCTGCCCAGCCTGCTGGCCCTTTGTTCTCATGACCCCTGGGGGAAATGTCACGCCTAAACCCCCATCTGTGTTGTGTGTTCCCCCACTCAGGATTAAGTCATGGTGTCCAGAATCTTCCCTGTGGACCCTGCAGCTGTGCAGATCCCAGCTCTGCCCCTTCCAGCTGGGAAGGGGTTAATCACAGCATCTTTTCACCAGGCTGTGAGTCTCAGAGACAGGAAACATGCTTGACCTGAGGCCCGCACCTGAGGATGGAGCAAGGGCGGAATGCTGTGGAATCCCCTTCTCGCTGGTCCTCAGAATCCTTTCTGGGGTCCAGTTCAGGCCCTTGAGCATCCACAGGCTGTTGTCCCTCCCCCTTCTGCTGGGGGCTCTTTGGGGACTAAGTACTGTCACTCCTGAGGTGTCTGGTGCGTCTGAGATTGCATCAACCCCCACGCAGGACTCTTGAGCACTGAGTCCGTGTCCACGCCTGCACATGGTCCACGGCCAGCCACCACCTGTGCACGTGCAGCTGAGGGGCACAAGCCTGGGCCGGACCCTGGGAAGGCGCCTCTCAACTGGGCAGTCAGGAGAGGGCCTCTGCTGGTGTGGGCCCCGCCCCCAGGTCGCCCTTCCGGTCATCCCTTGTCCTGGGTTTGGGCCTCCTCCCCCATCAGCCTGAGACTCGTCCCCCTCCGGGACCCACGGCCTCCAAACGCGCAAGCACGTGGCAGGCGCCCAGCGCTGCAGAATCGTGGCTGAGAATCCGCCTGGCTGGAGGGTGCGCGCCCCGCCCGCGCCCCACCCCGGGCCTGGTCGAGCTCCACTCGAGACGTGCAGCTGTTCCCTGCGCGTCAGTGCGCCTCCTCTGGCTTCCAGCCCGGCTTTAACGGGCGGTGGGCTGGCCGCCAGGACCCCGCTGGAGACCCAACATCCCTTCCTAGCTCCCATCTGCCCTTGTCAATCTCGAGAATCCCCCCAGGGACCACCAGTCACAGCACAAGCATCTCAGTTGCAGCAGCAGCAGCAGCCAATCGGGGCTTCCGCTGACTGCTTCCCGCAGCGGGGTGGGAACCAGGCGCGGCTCAAGGCCGGCGGGCCCCCAGGTCCTGGCAGAGCCCCAACTGCAGGGCACCCCCGCTGCCCACCCCTACCGCGCATCCCAGTCCGTCCTCAATCACCACCTTACTGGACATCGACGTGGCACCATGGTCCTCCTGACACTCTGTAAGCTGGGAGCCCAGCTCCTCCCACCCAGGGATACCCTGGGTTAAATGAGGGACAGCAGAAGGGACGGCCCAGAGCTTGCCTGCTTAGACCACGTGGTGGTCAACCCTGGGCTCAGGACCCAGGTCCCCCCTCATAGCTGGGAACACACACAGCTTCTTGTCTGCAGATGGGAAAATGCCTCCCTCCCTCCCACCCACCCAGAGCTGGGCCAGGGGTCCTGCTTTGTTGTAGGGACCCACCCTGATCTGCAAGCTTGACCAGCCAGCCAGCCCACTCTTCCCAGGCCCTGTGCTCAGCATAGGCCGCCTGCACTGCTGGAAGGGGCCGGCCCAGGGCCCCACACCTCCAAGTTCTAGACAAGGCGCACCTGCCTTGGCAGGAGGGCCTGCTCTCCTGGGTGGGAAGAGCTGGGTGCCCATCTTACAGAGGGGCAGGTGGGCCAGGGTGCCACGTGGATGTCCAGTAAGGCGGTCTGCTGTTGACTGGGGCTCTGCCTCCTAAACATGCAGACGCAGGCCCGCCGCAAATGCCTCCTGCTCCAGGCAGGGCATTGAGGAACCAGAGTCAGCCACCTCCCCACCATGGAGCTCCGGTCCCATACTGTGTCGTGTGTGCGTGCGTGTGTGTCCCCACTTGGGACACCGAGCCAGCCTCTAGGATGAAGCAGAGTCCACACCTTTGCAAAGCCCTCCAGTCCCTGGAGGTGCCTGGCTACTCAGACCACCCCTTAGAGCCCTGGGCCCGCCCCTGCCCGCTGCCTCCATCCCCAGACACACACAGGCCAGCCTCGGTGCTGGATTTGTGTTATTTTATTTTGCTCTTTCCAGTCTTAAGCTACTATCATGGGCATTTAGAGTTATACAAATGACACAAAAATAAAAGACCAAGACACCCAGAGTGAGATGCATGGCGGAGACAAACCACGGTCCAGTGGGGGGGAAGGCTGGCAGGGGCACGGCTGGGAGCCAAGGGTCGGGGGCTGGGTGGCTCCTCACAGGCCCCCAGCTGAGGGTGACACCCGGCTTCATCCCACCCCGAGACCCAGAGTCCAGTCAGACAAGGAGCACCGATCACGCTGGCTGGAGGCTCTGGCTGAGGCAGCGAGCGGCCCAGCACCACCAAGTAGGGATCCAAGGCTGGGCAGGTGGGAGGGACCAGCGAGAGCCCCTGGGATGTGGGGGCAGGTTCTGGATTTGGGGAGGTGCCCTCCCTGCCACAACACTAGCAAGCAGAGGGCACCAAGGTCTGGAGATGTTGTCCCAAGACCCCTTGAGGACCACTTATGGCTCTAACCAGGCTTGCCAGAGCCGCCTCCAACAATAATATTTCATTAAAAAAAAATACTGATTTGGTCATTTTCTGTTTCCAGTTAGGCCAGGGTGAAAGAGACAGGAACAGGGTCCCCAGAGTACAGGGGACTGCAGTGGGCAGGCCTGCTCCGTGCAAAGGGACAGGTGATGGGCACTCCAGTTTCGGCCCCCTGCCCTGTAGGCTGTCCTGATGCAGGGCTGGTGCCCCCAGGGGGCCACCGAGGAGCTTGGGGCAAGTGCCCGGTTCCTGGCAAGTTGGGGGGAATCTCGGCTGGGGGGGCAGGAGTTTCCAGTTACACCCCCGCCACATCCAGGGCTCCCAACCCCCACTGCTCCTCGGCCACTTTAGGGAAATAAGGCTCAGAGTTGTCTGAGGTCAGAAAAAAGAGGTGCCAGCCTCACCCACTGCAGAGAAGAGAGGGCAGAGGGTCCCCGGTCCCTCTGAGGGCCAGGCCGCAGCCGCCCAAGGAGAGGCCACACGGGACAACAGGTGGGAACACCGTTTTCTCTGGGTTTCCAGTTTGAAAGGCAAGGGGCTCACCACCCTCGGTGGCGCCCACCTGGAGATTTAGCAGGAGGGGTCGGGGCGGGTTGGGGACAGGGACGCAGGTGGCAGGGCCTAATACTCCCACAGTGTGGCGGGGTCGATGGTCTCGGCGGAGGCCTTCAGGACCCCCGCGTGGTCCCCCTTCAGGTAGCGCCCACCCACCTTGATGGCCACCTTGTTGTAGTCGCAGAACTCAAAGAAGAAGTCGACGGGGGTGTCACTGCTGCTAGTGACCAAGGAGTCACTGCCCACCGTCCAGTACTTGCCTGTAGAGTCTGGGGGAGAGGGAACCCTGTCAGGCTCTGTTCCCTACCCCGCAATCATGGCTTCCAGAAGGGGGGGGTGAGGTCGGTTATGCCCACCCAAGCCTCCCACCCACCCATCCTGGATGGGGCCCATCCCTACCCCCAGGGTTTTGGTCCCATAACTCAGGTGTGCGTCTTCCCCTGCCCACCCCTCCGGAACCCGGCTCCCTGTCTGCTCTGGCTCTGTCTGGGGTGGCTGGTTAGTCTCCCCCCTATACAGACAAGAAGGGAGGGGACTGCTCCCAGTCCAGAGCCCCTGGTGGCCTCAAGACATTTATCCCCCTGGGACTTGGAATGGCCCAAGCCAAGTTACAGGGAGGCCAGGCTGAGCCCCAAAACGAGGGCCATGCACAGCAGGGGGGCCATCCCTGGCCCGGACACTGCCCCCACCCAGCACGGCCCTGAGGAGAACCTGCCTTTGATGTTGTAGGCGCCGTCGTTGAACTCGAGCTGGAAGACGTCGTAGTTGGAGCGGTTGGCGTCCAGGGTGCCTGTGACCTTGCGGCAGCCGATGAAGCCGTGCTCCCCACGGAATACGATGATGGGGCGATTGATCAGCTTCATGAGGAAGAGCTCCGTGTCCCCTGTCCCAGAAAGGGGAGGGGCCGTGAGCCCTGTGGGGGTGTGGCTGCCGCTCAGAGAGGGAGAGCAGGGGCCTGGGCTCACACAGCATGCCAGCCTGGGGTGAGACTGGGCAGGGACTGCGGGGGATGCCCAGCACAGGGCGGGCGTCGGGGTGGTGACCACATGGTCAGACCTGCAGGGAAGGGGGCTTAGGGCTACCTGCTGTCTCCACGGAGGCGGCCAGCTGTCCGTTCTTCTTGGCTGTCACAAACTTGCCGTTGGACGCACGCAGTGTGATCCGCCGATCACGCCACTCGATGTCGAAGTAGCAGCTGGCATTCCTGGGTGTGGTGGGACAGAGTCAGGCGGAGCCACCCAGGCCCGGTCCCACAGGAAGGGCGGCCTGGCGAGCGAGCGAGAGCAGCCACCGGCAGGCCGGACACTTACTTGGTGGAGGCGGTGGACTGCACGCCCCCGGTGGCCGTCAGCGTCCAGTACTTGCCCGTGTGCGTGCGGAAGGCGCACTTTTTGGTGTCCCGGTCGATCTCCAGTTGGAAAGTCTCCTGGTCAGTCTCTTCGTCCTGATTGGCCGACAGGTCCATACCTGGGGGGAGAGCCTCCAGCTGGTACCCACGCCCTGCCCTCCTCTTGCCCGGGTCCCCGAGACCCTGCGGCCCCCGCAACAGAGGCCAGAGCCAGGGCCAACCCGGGAGCAAGGCCGGCTGCACCAGGGTCCATGTCACCTTCTCTGACAACAGACCCGACACCTTCCAGCAAACCAACTGCAGAAAGACATTCCAGAGCTGATGGGCGGGCCATCAAGTGACCCTCGATTAGATATGAAAGGATTAATTATTGTTAATCATGTTGTGGTTATGTAAGAAAATGGCCTCATTTTTTCAGAGATACAGACAGAAACATTTCGAGATGAAATGCTCTGATGTCAGGGATTTGCTTTAAATACAACCAAAAACCATGACTACAGGGACAGATGGAGAACTCGGCAGAGTATCGCTTCCGGGGAGCGGGTGGATGGGGTCACGGCCTCCTTCCCTCTTCTGTGCAGGCGTGACAGCCACAGAGTGAAACCTGAGAGCACAGGTTCTCGGGAAATTCAGGAAACTTATAAATGCATAAACATGAAGCCACACGTCGGCCCAAGCACCCCAGGACAGCACCGGGACAGCACTGGGGCCTCAGCTTCCTTCTGCAGACACCTAAGCCGCCTACAACCTCGATTTGCATATGATCTGCATCGTTTTGCATACCAATGCTGACTCCTCCAGCGAAAGCCTGAAACTGGGGTCTTTGTCCCAACAGAGGCACTCTGGGCTCTAAGAACCACAGCCACCAGACCTCTGCCCAGGGCTCGGGCTTGCCAGCGTGTCACCCTTTGGGCCTTTATAAAGTCGAGACCATGGTGGTGGGTGTCAAGTGTCCCTTTGGCTAGGGAGCTGGGAGCTTGAGGGTAGTGGAGCCCAGATCTGAGCACACCCGCCCCAGGACCCATCCTCAGTTCTCCAGCCACCCCTCCCAGGGCCTGAAAGGTGTCAGCCTCTTCTAACCTAGAGACATGTCCCCACATCAGCACCAAGGGGTTGCAACCTTCAACCCTGTTTCACAAAGAGGGAATCTGAGGCAGAGAGGTGGTGTCCTTGCCCAAGGTCACCCAGAGAGAAACTAAGGGGTCCTGGTGGATCTCAAGAGGGAAGGTGGGCACACTTAGGCTCCTGCAAGGCCCTCTCCCCCAGCCCTCCCTCCTCTCCATGGAATACATGGAATAGTGGATGTGGCCTCCGTGGGTCCCCCAGGGCCCTGAACCAGACCCTCTAGGAACCCCTTAGGCTCAGCCCTCCAGGTCCCTGGGCCTCCTTGGCCCCAGTGGCAGGGATCTAACAAGCTAGGACCAAGGTGGTGAGCTGGACTCACCATCACCTACACCCCAGAGAAGCCCTGAGCCAGGACCAGGTCAGAAGGGCTGGGCCTGCTGAGCACTGAGGCACCACCAAGAACAGACCATCCTAAAGCCACACCCAGGAGCATAACTTGGGATTAGGGTCCCCTCCTTGTTCAGACCTCACCCAGCAAACTGACAGCCTGCCCCACCCCCACTTCGGCAGAGCTGCTCCACCCCGCTCTCCAGAAACCCACCCTGGGGGCCCCAGCCAGTCCCAAGCTGCCCAGGGCGTGGGGGGCTGGCCAACCCGAAGGGAGGGGAGAGACAAAGGAAAAGCCCCACCAGGTACACCTAGAAGCAGGAGAGAGAGAGAGAGAGAGAGGACTCCCCAGAAAGAGGGGCCAAGTGGGCAGGGAAGGGACCTGGGACAGAAGTCTAACAGTCACCCTGGGATTCGGAGGGCTCGTCCTAACCCAGCCTGGCAGGCCAACCAGGCCCTCACCAGCCCGTCTGAGCTCACGGCTGTCTGTCGAGTCAACAGGAGATCAATGGGACCTCTGGTTGCCCTGTGCTACCTGTGGGCACGTGTGGGTGTGAATGTGTGTGTGGAATTGTTACTGAAACCCTCCTTCCAAGAGGAACAAAGGGAGGCTCCCCAGTGCAGGTCACTTGCCCAGGGCCATAACTGCCACCATCTGCTCTCTTACTCAGACCCCATCAGCCTGGCGTGTCCAGGTTTGATGGAAAGACCCTGGCCCCCGCTTTGTGTCCCAGGCTGAGGGACACAAAGCGGGGGCTAGGCAGGCACCCTTGGGAGAGTACCTTCCCCTCACTCGGCCTCAGCTTCTCTCTCTGCCCATCCAAAGGGCCCACCCTCTCTATTCTACCAGGAGGTTGAGAGAATTTAAGGGCCTGGTGCCACGTGGACACCAGGTCTTCCAACCCCAACGAGAAGGGGTGGGATAAGGGGAGCTGCCCACCCCCTACCACCCAGCAGGCCCCTCCTGGCTCCAGGGCCAGGCCCAGACAGGAAAGGCCCCTCGGCCTTGGAGTCTCTAATTGGAGCTGTGTTACTATGGAAACAGGGTTTTGGGATTTTTCTTTTCATCAACAGCAGCACAGAAAACCTGAGTCACAGGCCCACAGGAGCCCTGGGGAGGCAGGAGATGCTGGGGGAGGGGGGCTCAATGGAGCCCATGGGCACATCTCCTCCTTCCTCCAGAGAGCCCTAGAGAGACACCTGGGACCTCCCCACCCCCCTCCACCATGGCTTTCTCTGTCCTCATCCACCC